AGGGTCACAGCTACAGCTAAAATCCATAGTAGAATAACTTAGCTAAGGATAGCAATTATACTTACAAATAATCAACCACTATTTTCCTGAAGAAATGCATATTATGACCTCATGCTTAAATCAAATATTTATTATAATCTGTTACTCTTCCGTACTGTAACAGAGACAACAGCCAAGAATGTTTTATTAGCAGAGAGTTTCAAACAGCACTAAAAATATCAAAAGCTAAACTACACAAATCAGTTGCCATATTCCCAAGAAGTTCCCTTCCCTCCCCACTCTTTACAGTGAATACATACTACAGTTGTTTCACGCTTCCATTTATTTGTCATTAATTACACCCATCAGTTATTTGCATTGGTTTTACAGGAAATGCACAATCTCAACAGTGTACTAGAATAAAAGTATGTTTGAGAGCCAACAGCATTCTAATTTCTATGAGTGAAAATGGAGGCATTAATGAAAAACAATACCACTGAAACCATCAAAATACCTCTACATAGTTTTGTTACCACAATAATTACAATTATTAAAAGTTTTAGGCTTTTCTTGGACAAGGAATCCACAAGCTCTGTCATCCTTTCCCTTGAACATTCACAGACTGAGGCATAAATCTAAAGCACCTCCAACTCCAGGTAAGAGCTTAGGATGGAATTACAACCACCTTGTCTGACTTAAGTGGGCTAGAAGCTTTCAAATTTTAATGAAAAAAAAAACCAACCAACCAAACCCCGTCCCATTACTTTGCATCCTCAGTTCAGTGGTGCTCCAGTAGTGTTGGCAGTCTGGAAAGGAGAAGGGAGAAGGGAGCAATGCCTGCTGGCTCTTGCCCTTTAACTACTCTTCACCAGGTGGAAGAGCCCAAGCAGAGAGATTCATCCCATCAGAGAGCAAAGAGGGATGAAAACAAACTAAAATCCTTTAACGTGCAGTGCAGAAGAGAATTAACCTTAACCAAGTTTGCAGAGAACGTCCTGGACAGCATCAGCACCAAACATCATGCTATCCTTGGGTACTGGAAATGCCAACAACTGCACCACTACACACACAATGGCACATATGGCCCAGAAACAGAAGAGAAAAATTGCAGAAATGTACCATTTCAGTGACTATTAGTATTACAGAATGGGTCAGGCTGGAAGGGACCACTATGGGTCATCTGGTCCCACCTCCCTGCTCAAGCAGAGTCAACCCACAGCACATGGCCCAGGACTGTGTCCAGATGTGTCTGGAGTATCTCCAGTGAGGGAGACTCCATGCCTTCTCTGGACAATCAGTTCAGTGCTCAGGCACTGCACAGGAGAGAAATTCTTCCTCACGTTCAGGCGGAACTTTGTGCATCAATCTGCCTGTTGCCTCTTGTCCCACCACCCCACGGAGCAGAGCCTGGTCCATCCCCTGACCCTCCCTGCAGACACTGGCAGACAGGGATGAGGCCCCTCTCTGCCCTCTCTTCTCGAGGCTGGACAGGCCCAGCTCCCTCAGCCTTTCCTCACTGGGATGCTCCAGTCCCTCCATCATCTTTGTCACCCTCCACTGGATCTGCTCCAGCTCCGAGTCTGTCCTGTCCTGAGGAGCCCAGAGCTGGGCACAGCACTCCAGGTGATCCTCAGGGCTCAGCAGAGGGGCAGGATCCCCTCCCTTCACCTGCCAGCTATGTTCTTCCCAATGCACCCCAGGATTAATGACTTCAATTGTGACCAAAGCCCTTTTAAACACAAATAAATGCCTATCATCTTTATCCCATTGTATTTACAACTTAAACATTTGGAGAAATTTTAAGCAAGTCCTACTGTTAGAAAGGTCAGACAATCTTTATGGTTCTCCTCTAATGCTAACATAAACTGATATGGATCTTAAGAGGTACAGAAACGTAAAACCAGGTAATTTAAAATAAAGTCCTTGCAGAACAAGGCTCTATCATAAAACCCTTGCCTCACTCTTCTAGATTCAACACCTACTGAAGACAGGCATTCTCTCTCTGGCATAAAGAAAACTCCTGCTACATGTATGTGGAGCTCCTAGAACAGTCTGCACCTCGGATGAGTAGCCAAGATGTTTCAATTTTACACCTACTATGTTTTATAAACTACTCAAAGCATTTTGAATGAAAATTCTAATAAAAAATAAACAAGTACACTTAGCAATACTATCTGTGAGCTGTCAATCAAACACATGGTCTGATCCACATAGGAACAGCCTTAAAGATTTTAGACTGTGTACTTCTCAACCAATACACAGAGAGAGAATCTCTTCAAACTCACCTGGAAACAAGTTAGAAAAAAAAATGGCACACTTGTATTTTTCATCACTATCACTTATCCTGAGATATGTCAACACATTTTTGAAGGCTAATAAAGAAATCCCCAACTTACTTATTGTTGAAGAATGTTTGTGCCAGTTGAAGAGAGTAACCTCAAACATAACACGTTTGGTTAAGTAAAAATACATGACTAATGTTAGTGCCATAAATGCCACTTTAAAAAGTTCAATGAGAAATTGAAATTGTTATTCCAATTTGTATCTTCATATAGCTTTCAGCAATGGAAAGGTATACTGGAAATACATGCAAAATAAGATTTCCCCTAACATTTTTTTCTAATGAAAACATGAACTAGAATTTCTCTCTATCCTTCCTGGCCTTTCTTTCCACCCACACCCCTTAAAAATGAAAAATGCATGCTTGCAGAACTTAAACACACTAAATGTCACATAATAAACAGTTTATCATTGCCATTCCCATCACTTCATTCATATACTACTACCCTGTAATTGTTCCTCACCAAAAGCTATTATTGCTGCATTTACTCAAAGTCAGTCTTATCAGTTTATTGTATTTAGAAGTGTTTAAAGCTTATCCTAAAGATCAGAATATGCCTCAACAAATTGGACTGTCTACTGTCAGCCAGGAAAGTATCTCCTGATTTCTCTAGCAAATTGTATGGCAACTTTGACTAAACACTCAAGACGTTTTACAGACAATGACCTCTTTCCCACACCCTTTATGAAAATACCTTTTACTACCTTAAGTGACAGTGGTAACTATCTATTCAGGAAAGATAAATTACACATTTTAGTATTTCATCTGTCCAAAATGCAAATCAGAGCCAGATGTGCTAGCTGCAAGAAGTAAATCACTGTACCAATCAATAACAAATCCCAGGGACATGCAGACATTTAGTGTATATTTCACTGAAAGATGTTTGGTCAGATGCATATGTAGCCATTCATAGCAGATTTACAGCAGCTTTCCTGAAGTTTCTTATGGACAAGCAAGGTGGTACCCAGAATCTATAAGCTAAATAAAGATGCTGAACCTCTGATCCCTTGGAATTTACCTGTATAGCATTGCAAAGAAATAGCAATACCACTCATAAATTGTACATGACAGTTGTGCGTTTATACTTTAAATATTTGGGTTTTTTTAGAGGACAGACTTGACATCTGTGCAGAAAAACCTGAGTAATCACTACCAGCTATCAACCCTTCACACCACCACTGCTGCTATTTTCAGTGATACACCCTGTTTTTGCTACAGTGTTCTTGGCATCATCGTGCTGCTGTGATTCAATATTTATCTGTTAGATCTAGTTACATCACAACACCCTCTACACTACCCAAATCTCGTGTGGAACTTCTGCAGCTAACACCTAATCCACCGGTTTTCAGCTCTCCCTTCGAAATTCTCCAGCCGCGGAACAAAAAGTCAGTGGAGATGTGCAAACATCTGGCCCCCTGCGAATCGATCATCCATCCTCTGAAAGGGTTTGCGGTCATGCATAAGCACTGCACCTTCCTCCTGATGGCAATCGGGCAGGAACAAAACCGAGTGTGAACTGCAGTGGTTAGCATAAAACCACTTGTGAAAGGAGTGTGCCAAAAATTGTATTCAAAACACTTCAATTACAAGAGTTTTGCTCCTCAACAGCATCAAGTCAAAGCAATCATATTCCATTTATGATGGCAAACAAGGCCCTTGGAGCTTAATATTTTTAAAAGTTGTGTTAGGAGCAAGGTGGTAGTGTCTTGTGAAACAACAGAACCGAGTGCTGAAACTTCTGCTGACAACAAAGCCACCTGCTATGTCCAAGACCAACATTTCAGCATAATCCCGAGAAAAGATTAATTCTAAAATATTTTTAGCCCTGGCTTTGGAAGCAGACAGCACTCCATGTACACTGAAAAGCATCAGGGTGGAGAGCGGGCAAGAGAATACATGCAGGAAACATTCTTTGTTTATAACCAAAACACGGTCAATTATTCTCATAAAATCCATTGTCACGAAGAAAAAACTCCAAGCACACTGAACAGTATCACTATTAAGGTTTGCAGAGCAATCTCAGCTTTGGAATCAGACACACAGAAAATTAGGTAGTCACAGTATTACTGTATATTTGCTGTCCGTTTTGCAACACAGACACAACTAGAGAAAATAAATGAAAGACGATGAAGAAATAAAGAATGCATTTCAAAACTGAGCAGTGACAGAAATACGGGGGCAGGGGAGAATGGAGTTCAGCTTTAATTCTTTATCGCCATCTGATTTGGGGGAGTCTCTGCATTTTCTTGGTGACTCGAATTGTCATTTTCATCCAACAGTGGTAACCCGAAACAGCAGCTGGGTAACGCCAGCCAGAGCCTCAACTCCCAGGTTTCGTACAAGCCTCGAGCATCGGTTTAACAGCAGTTGCATAATAAGACTCAAAAGGCCAAGCACTCCTCCTGCCTTGTACATCTCCATTTCCACAAAAACCAGAGTGATGGATCTGGACGAGAACCGAGCACTACCCGAGCGCCACTACCAAGCTGGTTATTATGCAGCAAAGAAGAGGAAAACCCAACACCTGGCGCACAAATATGAAGACACCCAGTGAATAGGTGGATCTACGGAGAGCTATCTTCCCCTTCCCTTCCCCAAGAGGCAATCCTTGATGGGTGTGCCAGGAATGGGATATCGGGGGGGAGGAGAAGAAAAGGGGTGGGAAGTGGTTGCCGCTTGCTGCAGCCAGGCTGAGCGATGGCGAGGTGGTTAATCATGGTGGCTGAGGAAACATGGGGTCACTTCTCCCCCTTCCGCCTCCCGTGTGACGAGGACGGTGGGCACCGGCCACGGGGTGGGGGACCCGGACCCCGCACGGACCCGCCGGCGGCGACTCAGGTGGGTCCCGGGCGGAGCATCCCGGTGCCCGGTGCGGGCGGGGGGCGCGGGGCAGCGCTCCCCCGCCCAGCCCTGCCCTGCCCTGCCCGCTCCCCGCCGCACTCACTTGCCGATCACCTCGCAGAGCTCGTACACGTCCTCGAACAGCACGTCGTCGTCGGCCATGGTCCGGACGGGGGGGCTCAGCCCGAGAGGCGGCGGCCCCGGGGACGCCCGGCTCCCCCGCCGCTCAGCGCCCACCGCCACCACGGTAAATCCCGGCCGCTCCCAGCGCCGCCCGCCCGCCCGGGGCTCCCGCGGCCGCGCCGGGACTCCCCGCTCCTGCCGCTCCTCCTCCGCCTCCTGCCGCGGCCGCCGCCGCTCCCCGCGCGTGTCGCACCCCCCGCGCCCCCGCCTCCCACCCCCCTCCCGCCCCCTCCCTCCCGCGCTCAGCCGCGGCTCCCGCGGGCGGCTCCGGCTCAGCGGGGCGGCGCGGGAGCCATGGAGGGGATCGGGGCGGGCGGCAGCGCCGGGTCACTCCCTCGCCGGGCGGGAGCGGGGCGCGCGTTCCCGGGCGGGCGGGCGGGAGCGCCGGGAGGGAGGATAATAGTGGGAGGGGGAAGGGCGGGAGGAGCCCCGGCGCGGGCGCTGGTTCCGCTCCCGGGCGCGAGGAGGAGGCGGCGGCGAGGCGGCGGTCGCGACAGGCGCTCGCGATAGGCGCTCGCGGCACCGAAGGGCGGGCGGGCGCGCGCGCGCGCGCGTGCTCCCGGCGCCGCCGTCACGCAAGCCCCGTCACGGGGGCGGGCGCCGCCGGGGGGCGCGCGCGCGCACGCGCGCGGGGCGCGGGGGGGGGGGGCGGCGAGCCACGCCCCCAACCGCCCGCTCGAGGGGTCCGGGGAGGCGCGAGGGGAGGGGGCTCGCGCAGGCGCGGTGACGTCATGGCGCGGGGAGGGGGAGGTGGGTGTGACGTCACGGCGCGGGCGCGGGTGCCGCTCGCGCTTATCGCCCGTGCGGCCCTGACCGCCTTTATCGCCTTTATCGCCATTATCGCCTTTATCGCCTTTATCGCCTTTATCGCCTTTATCGCCATTATCGCCCCCGTCACCCCCAGCGACCCCGCGGCCGGCACGGGGACGGTCGCGCCGCGCGCTCGCAGGAAACCGGGCAGTGGCGGTGAAGAAGCCGTGTGCGAGCCGGGCTCGCACGGCTCTGTCCCGTGCTTTATTTTCCCTTCTGTGTGTTCCAGCGGGATGCAAGTGTTTTCTGCGGCACGAACCGGACCGCCTGTGTTGTTGGGAGAGCCGCTCTTTATCCCTAAAACAGTGAATTCGCCCTGTGGCAGTGCGCCGTGAGCCGCTCCTCCAGCTGTGCGGGGCACCGCTGGCTCCAGCCGCGCGGAACAACGCGCGGGAGACATCGGGTGGATTTTAAATCACCACAGTGCTCGCACCATTCATTGTTCCATGGTGTTTAACATGCTGCACGTGTGTGCTTTTCCAAGTTTTTTGAAAACTTGGATGTTTTGTTGAAGAAAGCAAAGCTCTCTTGAAGGGTTTAGTCGGGAACTCTTGCAGTTTACAGAAAGTATTTATTTCTCTCAAGGTACAGTAGTACACGTGCAACTTCCCAAAATTCATTAACAGAGGTAAATTATGGAATTGTTCCCCAGACTGAGGAAAAAAAAACTATCAGAGCAGAATTATCTGATGAAATGGTTTAAAGGTTGGCTTTAAAACGTAGAGCTGACAACACCTTACCTTGTTCCTGTCTCCAGAAAAAATTTAAAAGTAATAAAAAAATCAAGAAAACCAGTGAAAATAATTACATCTATTTAATTACATCTAACTAATTATACCTAATAATTACATCACTGCACAGTGCTGTCTTAAGGGTGAGAGACATTCCTGTGGGTCTGTGCTCCATCCCATACAAACCTTTGAAAAATATTTAAACCACCATCTGCTCTTTGGACTGCAAACAAAAAGCTGATATATTTAAACCGTTCTCTAAATTTCACACAGCTAAACGTGGGCACCCATTTTTTCCTTTTGCAGGCCCACAAGGCTGAGTCCCACACAGGTCACTCAGAAAGAATTTTTAGAATATGGGTGAGTGTTCACTTAGACTTTGAGCTGGAGTTGTCTGTGAAGCCGTCATGAGAAGTTAACATAAAAAAAACAATTCAAAAGTGCACAAGAAAGAAAATTGCTGGTGGTGGATCTCTTCCTGAGCTGGGGCAAATGCTTTGGCTGCTCCAGCAGCATCACCTGAGGTGTTGCCTCCCTCTGGATGCTGAGTGCTTGGTGTCACACCAGGCCATATTGCCCAGGTGAGACAGTTTAAACTGAATAAAAGTTTACCAGGCATAATATATGGGGGCCTTTGTGCCAAAATATTGTCATAGAGCAAACCTTCATTGGACATTTGTGTTGGTTTTGGGAATAGGCAGCACATAAATGTGGCTTTCTGCTAAAGTACAAGGTCCTGGGGCACAGGCTGGGGGTTTGTTGTGATCCTGGGAAGGAAGTTGGAAGACACAGAACAAAAATGAGCTTTTGCTGAAGAGAGGTGATCCATTCCCTGGCATCCAGGGAATGCCAGTAGGCATCTGGCTGACTTGAGGGGTCCTAGAGCAGCCTTAGCATTCACTAGGCTCAAAAGAAGCAAGGTGGATCTATCAAACCTGTCCTCACTCAGTACAGGGGAAGAGTGAACATGGGTGCTGCCTCCCGTTTGAGTTGCATGAGGAGAATCTGTCTGAACCAGGATTTTGGTGTAGATCTGGATCATAAAAAGTTGCACAGTGAGCCAGTAAATGCAGCAGAGATGCCACTGCATCAGCAGTTACTGGAACAATTGAGAACTGTGCTGTTACTCTGTTTCAGATTGAATGGGCTCAGGAAAATATGAGCGTTGGTCTGCCAGAAGGACCCAGTAGCATGATAATCCAAGCAGAGCATTTGCAGGTGTGTTTGTGATCAGAAATTCCAGCCACACGTTCAAAAGTAGTCATTCCCTTTCGTAAGCAAGCATTTTTGATTTTCACCCATTTATCCAGTGTGGATCCTTACAGATTGTGGGATTAAATTAATAATTCTGAAATACATACATCTAACATCTCATCAAAAAGTGTGTAACCATAATGTTTGGCATACGAGCAGAAGTGACTTTGCACTTGAGACCTGAAATTATTTACTGGCGAGGTAATGGTCTGAAAGCAGATCAGTTGGTTCAGAGCTGGGAGAGGGACTTTTTGATCAGGAAAGAGTAAGAGAACACTGAGTGTTCACATGAGGAAATGCCCTACAGCCCCTGGTAGCCTTTCCCAAAGCACTGCACGTGTTTCAGCTACCTGTCTGCCAGATTCTGGACAGGCTGGTTAAGATTGTGTATGTTTAGGTTAACCAGTTTTGCATTCAAAAAATGCTAAGGAGTAGCTGAGTGTGGGCTCGGGCACTAGAAAACTTATTTCTTAAAATTTTGTGGGGTTTTCAAATTTTATTCACCTGGGGTTTTCGCATACAGTCCGCACAGCATGAGCCACAGGACAGGTAAGTTGTTCAAAAATTGGTTTTGGAGCAGTAGTTATCAGTTATCCAAAGAGCCTTTGTGTTTTCATTTAAAATTTGATGTAAAAAGTACACGATGAAGAAGAACAAGAAATTTCAGTGGTTTGACAGCGTTCTGTTATCCCACAGATGTAGAAAGCACCAAATCCTGTTCCTCAGATTCCAATTGTAACAGGGTCCTGGGTACTTGATCTGTAACCCAGATATTAATTCCCTCCCTCTTAAAAAGTTTGAGAATGACACTGAAGATGAGTATGAGCTGTTAGTATTTTGTAAAAGAGAATATTGCAGGCCTACCGGGTTTCTGACAAACTGCCATATTGTTTAGGTGGGTCAGTTCTGTGACCTGAAAATTGTTCATACTTTGGGCAGTAGAAAACATGTTTTGGTTGAAATGAAAAGTGTTTTGATCACAGGCACATTTTCAGGGACATTTTACAGGGACATTTGCAGTCCCTGTAAAAACTGTTAGTGAAAAGAGCCTTCAAAAGCCATCAGCTGACCTGGAGTAGGTCTGAATGATTTCTTGCAAAAGTCTGTAATTAAATCAGCTCAGAATCTGCCATGTGGCAGGGTAGGCTGCAGCTGCAGAGCTCAGGTGTAGCACACAAGTTATGCCACACTGTAATTAAGGAGGCAGGGTTTCCCACGAATGCTTGTCTTAACAGGTGAGTGATGTTTGTCTGGCAAGATAAATCTCCAGCTGCATTTTTTCCCCCCCAGTGGAGTTGGTTTTAAGTTCCTTCACAGTGTCAGTTCTCCATTGCTTGGTGAGAAGGAGACTCTCACTGTCACTTTTCTTCACTGAAGCCACCACCAGGTCTCTTTTCTGCAGCCACTTCTCTTCAAAAAGCAGTTGGAGCTTATCTCAGGGATCTGTACCTTGCCCCTGATTAATTCTGTTGAAATTGACCGCCAGGTTCAAAAGTTCCTGGAAAAGTTATGTGTAGTGTGAACATGGCAAAACCTCTTTTCCCTGGCCAGCAGGCTGAGAGGTGCCTCTTTGGAATAAGAAATTTGCTTTCACTGCCTTTGAGACATGGTGACCACATCCCCTTCCTCTGACATGGCTCACACTGACCCAGGGCCAGTAACCAGACATGTTTTTTCTAGGGAAAAAGTCACTTTCCTCATTTGGAATTAGATTGCACTCATAATTAAACAGAAATTATGGTAACACTACTGGAGATGGGCATTGAACTAGACCAAAGCTGACCCAATATGACACTTTCAGAAGTATCACAAGTCACCTTTCAAAATCAACTTCCAAAGGTGAAAAAGTCCCAGGTAAGAATAGCTGACAACATCAAAAGAGAGAGGAATACTTTAAAATTACACAAACCCTTATTTAATGGAGTTTCTTTAGTTATTCCTTGCCATTCTGCTGATTTTCCCCTTCCTTGTGTACCATGTAGCTGTGTCTTGATTTCATTACTGGAGGTGTTTATTTATTTCTCCCCAGCTGCAGCTTTTCCTCATTGATGAGTATGGATTAAATTATAATAAATGCAGAGGAAATCTCTCCAGGATGCTTTTATTGAATTTTTCTTAAATTAAAAATGTCTTACAGGGGTTAAAACCAGGTAATAAAACCAACTAAAAATTCCAGTTATCGTTTCATCATTTGCAACCATATGCTACATTCATGCACCTACATAGAGAAAAATAATTAAAAATCACATTATAAAGACAATATCAAAATGCAAAGTACTAGCACCAAA